GTTATTCCTATTGTTAACAATGGAGTCAACGGTGCTATGAACTGCAAGTGATCCATGATAAATCATCAGTATGCGCTTAAGAATTTATTTATGCAAAGACAGTTTTCTTTGATTCGGTGACTTTGGTCTTCTGGAAAATGACACAGATTAATGCCATTTTTAATGAGCCATCAAGTTTCAGTTAAAACATCGAATTCATTTGCTAAAACAATGCTTTCCTATAAGGTTTGGCTTAAAAATTTATTCCTGTAAAGGTACTCATAGAAAAACAAATTTTCAAGCGAGCAGGAAGATCAAGCCATGCAAGATATTACTCAGAATGAGAGTTAGGTCGTCTATGTCCATGGTACTGCCATAAATTGGGTTATAAATCTGACCATCTGAATCTACGTAAAATATCACAAAAAATCTGATCCCTATGTTCTGCGATAGCTTTCACACTTCCCGTGTAAAGAGTGAAAATATTTTTCTTACTTCCGTCGACACTGTTTCTGCCATTTAAATTCGGTATCATTTTTAGTAATGCCATTTCCATTTGCACTTGTTACTTTTATGCAACTATATCGCTAAAGCAAATTTATGAAATTTATCACCTGTGTACTACTAGACTGCATTACTGGTAACAATCCTTACAAATGGATAGACAAATGCTTGATTTGCAGAAGTTCCACTGCAATATAACAGTACTTCGACTTTTATATTGTTATACTGTTATACGGAAGTGCCAATCATTCTAATTATCAGCAGTTTCAGTTTGAATTATTAGGGCAATTTTAAGGAAGTTATTTATTGTCGCTCAATCTGCTTACGCGGATTCCCCATATTTGTAAGCCACATAAGACCTTCGAGGAACAGTCTACTCTAAGGTGCCGTGATTTCATGGACCTTTAATAAACATCTTCACAAATGCAGCCTCAAATAGAGTTATTATGGCTAGGATGCGAAGACTAACACATCTGCGACGACAGTCATGAAACCCCATATGAACCTGAAGTTGATGGCTGACGATTATCGTTTGTTCAGCACGTAATAGATCCCCTTATCCATCTTGGCCAATGATCCGGCTGACGATTACGCCATAGTGTGAGTATTTATTTTCAATGACAGCGATATGGTTGCATCATTCCTCTACTATCTGTGCAAATCTGAACTGACTGAATTGGTGTGCTTCCATCCTCTCTTGACTGTCAAATTAATCCTCGTCCATTGCATCAGTCATATGACTTTTGCGGAAAGTTTGACAGTACACAAAAGGTGGTTGAGCATCTGTCTGCAGCAAACAAGCCTCTTACTCTAAATCCATACAATCACGGTTCTTTCTATCATTTTCATGAATTTCTCAGTCCTTTTCTTCCCAGATTTTTCCATTGTTTAGGGTCTGCGATGTTTATCATTTTTCTCTGAAGTCTGATTTCCTGGTCATTTAGATAGCATATGCCGTACATAGGAACATGGAGTTTTGCACTTACCTCGGCTGTTTTCTCCATTATGGTAAATTTTAACTCTACTGTGGGTATGCAGCCCTTTTGCGGTTAATTTCGTATTGTCTGTCTGTCGTAACCTGCGCAATATTTCTGGTCTTTGCTTACGTAACTCATATTGCCTCCTGTTAAGGTCGTCAGATGGAGTCCATTATGCCAATAAAACAAATTCATCTCCTCGTTTCTCCTGTCATCTTATCATTTTGTAGTTTTAAGCATTCCTCTCGTTGAAAATGAACGAATTTAGCTCAAAGCAACTACCACAACTTATAGCAAATATGTATGGACACGAAGGGTAGCTCTGATTTTTAGCAGAGAAACTCTGAGAATAGCAAGAAACAAACTTACTGGGTTCAGTCACTAAATATTGTAGTAGTTTCTGTCCACTTGAACATAGGAAAAGTATAGGCCCTTATCGAAAAAGACGGTTTCATTTATCTTCAAAGAACTCGATACTGTCGATATTAAAGAGTTCAAATAACCATTTACTCTTATTTAACCCTAATATTAAGAAAATAGTTTACCTCTTCATGCCGTACCACTGTTGATTCTCCAAATTGAAGAATCGCACGTGCGATGGTTTAGGCATGTCTTGCAAATACATTGAGGCACGCTACTAAATGCTCAGCCGACTCACAGACCAACCTCGGGGACGGCCAACAATAAACTATTCACAAGCAGTCGTCAGACACTGCTCAAGAATGTGCTTAACTTCTGTCGAAACTGAAACATTAGCGAAGGGTCGGAAACGTTGGAGACACTGTCTGGCGCACCTGTCTCTGCGACCCAAAGCAATGAGCGGTAATGGATACTGACGGATAACTTATTAGCTTACCTTATTTTGAAAGGCTGCTCTGCAAATTCATTTGTGTCTCGATAATACGACACTATTATTCGAAAACATACATCTATAAGGAATCTAGCATATGCTGTATACGAAAATGAATTATAATTTCTTGTTATTATAGTTCAGGGAAGTTAGCAGTTCACTAACAGTTAATCTTAACTTTTTATATAATAATCAGTTGCAAAACCAGAGCTTCCAACCGTTTTGACAAAACCAATTTGAATAGCATATGTGTAACTTTTCTCAAAGCCATTGTCGCCCTCAAATCTGAAAAATGTACATGTTGTATTCACGACAGCGTTCATTGGTGCTCCATTCATTACTTTCTTTTATAAACAAGTAGATGACCTGACCTCATGGAAATGTATGAAAATAGAAGTCTGGACGGTAATGAAGAAATATCGAAATCTTCATGGCAATCTATAAGCAAGCATAATGGAATGCAGGATAAACTTTTAATGAAGCAAAAATAATGTTTGACGAAAGATGTATGTACTGGAAAGCAAACAAAATCGAAGATCCTATGAAAGTGAAAGTCTGGAAGTTAAGAAAGTAAAACTCAAATGGGAGCAATTATCTAACAGGGAGAGAATAAATGTTTATTGCATGCTTGACTACAAATACTGTACACAGACAACATAAAAATTTCATATTTGAATGCACTGATGAAAAACTCAATGGGAGATTCTTAGTAATACAATGCTATCTTCACCTGTTTATGCAATGGAGAAATATTTTAGATTCGCAGAAACACGGATATACTGCTGCATGGATTACGCCCACCTTGTAGTACAAATGAACTGAAACCAATCAGTAAATTTTCACCCAATATCGTTCACAAATATTTGCAAAAGTAGCTATGAACTGTTGCAACAAGTTATTTTCATATTTCACAAGTCCAGCTGTCATTTATTTCTTTTGTCTTTGTATTGAAAATTTTCTTTACATTGTGGCAATGACACTGAGCTTAGGAATGGAATAGAAACGATTAGGACTCGATATGTTGAAAAATCCACTCGTCATATTTTTAGTTATTTACCATTCAAAAGAAGGTTTCGTCTTACTTAAATCATTTTTGCACAAGTATCGTGATATGTTAAATTCCTTTTAATTCATTAATTCAATCCACCGGCAGACGCAGGTTGTGTCAGGTAAAAGTTCTATAGCCGAGTCATTCACATTATCATGGGCAATACGTGGTTAAGTTCCTTCTATGACCCATAATTCATGCACGGAGCTGACATTCAATCTGATCGTTTTCTAATGGACGCAAAGTTCTGCTTTTGACCATCTGCAACTGGAAGAACGGCGATGGTCAAAGAAGAAAAATATCGCTTCGATCTGAAAGACTGCTGCTCGAAGAGCCATTTCCAGATCCGCTGCTGCATAGACGAAGAATCGAAAGCGCCTTAGTTGCTCTTTGAGTACTTGAAAGGGCGCTTACTAGAGGAAACATAGAGTTTTCAGAAAAGAAGATGGACGGAGTTTCAGTCACCATTCAAACCCTGGAACTTCACGGGAAAAAAGCAGAAGAAGAAGGAGAAGCAGGAGACGCTGCAAGATGGCGACGGTGCCAAACGATGAAGACACTGGCACAAAAAAGAGCTGAGGGTAGTGAGTGTTTTAAAAGGCGTTTGCTGCAGGAGACACTAGGTCACTCTTAATGGCATGAGTGGCAAGGTGAAGCTGGTTGCGCAGCAAGAAAGACGCATGACACTGCCTGCCGTCGAAATCGGCAAGAACAAATCTCTTCACCCTGCTGAAGAATATCCACCTGACAAGGAGTCATTTCCAAATGTACTGCGACAACTGGACGTTCCTGCTCCTTACAACTGAGAGGTACAAATTGACCAAGATGCAAGTGATAGCCCAATTCAAGGATGGCATTCACAGTGGTTTCTAAATATGAACGAAGTAAAGAAGTAGTTTGCCATTAGATAATAAGCTATGCCATCGAACCTCGATTTCGTCAATGATTAACACTATGTTAAACTTTGAGAATATGTAGGTATGAGTGAAAAGATGCGTTTCAGAAAGGGTAACCTATTCACCAGTTAGTTTTGATCTGCTTTCTTCAAATAAACGGGCCCAAGAAGATGAAAGTCTGTGTGTCATAAATGAAACCGTCAGCCCCTCCACTGACACCGCTTTTAATACATCTAGCGCAATTGCAATTTACGTTTCTGTCATTTCATCTATGATTCATGACTGCTTCTGAAAATTGAATATTTTTAATTATCGCAACCAGAGAGCCGGTGTCTCTGTGTCAAACAGCAGAAAAATATCGATGGATATTATAATTCGAAAGAGTATTCCATGTTTTAATTTCCCATTTCGACGATAACCGTGCTTAGATATTCAAAATGTATCGATGAGGACTCTGAGTGCTGCATATGATACACTGTGTGCGTATATCCAACAAGGATAATATATCGAATACCGAAATTTTAAACGGGCCATATTTGTCGCACAAAAAATTCCTTACTTTTCCTGAGATTCTCATTACAAGGATCCGCGAATGAAGTCAAACGCATTAATATCTTCATCTTCTTCATCTTCATCTTCCATCGCCGCTTCTCTTTCGGGTCGCGGAGGCAGACACTTCAGCCAGAGCTTCCAACGTTCCCGATCCTGTGCCACATTCTGAGCTTCCGCAAAAGACAAATGGAGTCTGGAACAGACTCCTTCCATATGTTTGCACTAGGTTAATCTTGGCCGTCCCCTGAGCTTTTTGCCGGTCGGATTTGTAAGGAACAGTTGCTTAGCCTTCCTTTCTGGAGGCATT